AAGGGTACCTAAAGGTCGAGCTCTCCTATGTGTAGGAAAGGTGGATGCACAAAGAGTAATGAGAATAGTTCACGAAGGAATCTGTGGCACTCATGTAAATGGCAAAATGTTAGTCCAGAAAATAATGCGAGAAGGATATTATTGGACTACAATGAATAGGGATTGCCATCAATACGTAAAAAGATGCCCTAAGTGCCAAATTTATGCCAATTTACAACATATCCCTCCATCTTTGCTCTACACCTACACATCGCCATGGCCATTCTCTACATGGGGAATTGACATAATTGGCAAAATCACTCCCCCTGGAATAGGAGGCCACGAATTTATTCTAGTATCAATCGATTACTTTACGAAGTGGGTCGAAGCGCAATCATACGCTAAACTCACTGCAAAACATGTAGCACTCTTTATCGAGAGAAATATTGTTTGTCGATATGGAGTCCCACATGAAATGATAAGGGACAATGGAACTCACTTTCAAGCCGAATGTGAAGAATTGCTACAAAAATACGGCATTCAACATCATCATTCTTCCCCTTATAGACCTCAAGCAAACGAAGCAGTCGAGGCAGCTAATAAAAATCTAAAGACTATCATCAAGAAAATGAGATTGGCCTGACAAGCTTCACTTCGCATTGTGGGGTTATCGCACGTCAATCTGTACATCAACGGGAAATACACCATTTTTCTTAGTATATAGAATGGATATCGTACAACCTTTCGAACTAGAAATACCATCTCTACGCATTGCGTTAGAGAGTAAACTCGATGAAGTTGAATGGATTAGGGCAAGATATGAAGAATTGATTCTACTCGACGAAAAACGACTAGAAGCTCTACATCACACTCAGTGTTACCAAACTCGTATGGCTAGGCATTTTAATAATAAGGTCAAGACAAGAAATATCAAAGTAGGAGATTTGGTATTAAAAGCACTAAGGAAAAATGTTTTAGACCCAAGGGGAAAATTTAGACCTAACTGGTCTGGCCCCTACATTGTCAAAACAATCCTGTCAGGAGGTGCAGCAAAACTAACTGATATGGATGGCAATGAATTCTCGAACATGACTAATCTTGACCAACTTAAAAAATACTACCCATAATTACTTGAGTAGGATACTCAAGAGAGCTACGTTCGGCCTGATTCCTTAAGAAAGGATATGTAGGCAACCCTTTACGGGTGCGGCCACTTTATTTTTCGACATCTCCGCATTCCAAAATAAATTAAAAAGTCAACAGAAAATCGGTGAATTATTGGCGTCGCAAAACAGAGCCTGGCGCCAGCCAGAAGTCATCAGCGTCAGCCGATGGAATTGGCGCCTGGCGCCAGCCAGAAGTCATCAGCGTCAGCCGATGGAATTGGCGCCTGGCGCCAGACTTCAATGGGAGGCGCCAAATGCCAATGACTGGCGCCAATTTAGGAATAAAATCTGGGCGAATTTCGGTGTTTTTCGGAAAATTTTCGACTTCCGTACTCGAAGAATTTCTGGAACATTAATTTTTTTCGATTTTCATTGCTTTAATAAAATAAATTTAAAGTAAAACAATTTAATTGAAAGCTAAAATTTCATTAATAAAATAAAATTACATTATTGATGGAATTTAAATAAGGCTGAAATAAATTAACTTTAAATAAAAATAACAATCTAAGTCTAATAAATCTAAAGCTAAGCAATGTTTTTTTTTTTTTCTAGCTCTTTTCCAATTCTTTTCTGCTTCCTCCTCTTCATCCATTACTTTAGCTAGTAGGCATCCTTTAGAGGACCTACATTCAATCTTGGAGTAGATGGTCTCCCCTTCAGCTAGCACTCCATGCTTCTTTTCCACCCAAACTTTTTTGTCTGTGGTGTTAGCTTTCCTTTTTCCTTTGTCTTTGGTAGTATTTTTCTTCCTTGGCATTGTAGGTGTTTTGAATTCAATTCTTGCACCTAAGCGTTCTTTGGCAGGAGTCACCCTATCACCTAGACGATTCTTCACATCGGTTCTACCTTGATCAATCAAAGATTTCTTCAGCAACCACTTCTTTACATCATTAGGCAAAGAAGGAGGAACTTTTTGGGTAATCACTTCCCACAAAGGTCTAGCGCTCCATTAAGCATTGAATCTATCTACTTCTTGAGATACAGGGTACTCATAGGGAGGACGAAGATGCCTGGAAGGAATATTCTGAAGCAAGCCGTATTGTCTTTTTACCCTGCATGGATAATAATAAGTAACACGAGAAGAAGACGGCAGAAAGGTTGCTTGTTAACACTAACCATCCTTTCTATTTTCCACCATGGGACGACCCACTTGATAGCAAAATCACGTGATTCAAATACTTTTCTCCACCCATGGCGCACAATTTTAGGGATGCGCTTCTTCCTTCTCACGAAGCAATTGGGAGTATACTTTTCAATGTCGTCCGGAGGGCTAATTAATCCTAGCCTCTCCATTAACCACATCTATAAAAAAAATTACAATGCAAATAAATTATTACAATATAAAATTATATTTTTTGATTTCTGTAATTAAAAATATTATTTTTCTACCTGTAATAAAATTGAAAAACCGCGAAGAGGCGCTTTTGGGTCCCTTTTCAATTCATCTAGACTAATCATAGTCTCTCCAACTATTAATGGCATTGGTTTTCTCCCTGATTCAATTTGTTCTAAAACAGTGGTTATAATTTATTGACCCTCATTATTTTTACCACTACTAAGAAAAAATTGATTGAGCATGCAAAATAAGAACGCCCTTCTTCTGTATATATGAAAAGATTCAGAAAGAGGTTTATCAAAATAATGGCATGCGAATTCTTTCAAATTAACTATGTTGCCATTCACTATTTTTGATAAATCCTTTTCCTTTAAATTAAAGAAGCGCTCAAAACCCTTATAATAGTATGCATCTACTCTAGGGATTGCTACGAGGTCTATTGCAGGGAACCTTAAAATAGCACCAAATTCCTCTGGCAAAGGGCTAATCTCATCATACCCTATTCTGAAACAATGAGTATCAACATTCCAAAATTCTAGAGCAGTATGTATGAAGTCGAGGTCTAGATCTACCCCTTTGATGCCATAAATTCCCCCCAAGTGAAATAAATCTAATTCTTTTCTGTCTCTAACATTAAGAGATCGACACCATTCATGAGTGTATTGGGTGAAGGTTTTGATGGCTAAAGACATGATTATTATTTTTTTCTAAAGAAGATAATAATTTTATTCGCTGGAATTATGAGAAGAATCGGCTGGGCAGGGGGCTATTTATGCACAAATTGCGAAGAGATTTAATCAGAATGAAACACGGATTCAGCTTCAATTGGCGTCACACCCGTGATTGGCGCCAACCACCAGAGCTTGGCGCCACACGCTAAGTGTAGCGCCTGGCGCCACGCGCCATAGTGTGGCGCCAGCTGGCGCCAATTCACCAAGACAGTCGCGCGTGCTCAGCTTGCGTTTTTAATATTAAACTCAAGTCGGTTAATGACTTTATGGCTCCGTTTAATTCTCATAAACATCTTTTTTTTTATCCTTTTCTTAATTAATTAAATATAGCTATTATTTTTTTAATTTATATTATTCTTTTTGGACTTTATTTTAAATTCCAAACACCCGACATTTTATTTAATTTTTTCCTTTTTTTTATTTTTTCTTTTTCGGGGAGAGTCGGATACCCTCCATCAATAATAAAAATGACGGAAATTTTGCGCAAAATTGTTGTCACACTTTTCTTGCACATACAAACAAACACACAACAATAAATAAATTCGTAATAATACAAAATGTGTCTAAATAATGAGTCAAAGGCAAAGTTCTATAAAAAAGTCAAAATAAAATATATACAGGAACAAACTACGGCGCCGGAGGACGTAGGCCCGTCATGTTGTAAAATTGTGTCGTACGAGGAGTCACCTCTCCACCGGCTCCAGCTCCAGCACCAGCTCCAGTCTCCGTAGGAGGAGGAAGACTCAAGATAGGACCACTCCAGCCAGGATCAACCTGAGGCTGAGGCCGCGGAGGCTGCTGCGATGACGAGCCCACCTCGTACATCCCACCACCTCTGAAAGCCGAGGTAGCCTCTCCTACCGGTGCAATGTGACTACCCTCAGAAGAAGATCCCGAGCCCTCTGCAACATCGGCTCGAGCAGCCTCAAAGCGACCGCCTCTACCCCCTGACGAAGTGCGACGACGTCTCGAGCTAGATCTCGCTAGATCCCTCCGCCCCTCAGGTCTCGTGCGGGTGTGAGAAGCGATAGGCTAGCCCTGCAAAAAGAGTTAAATCAGAAACAAAGTAAAATTGAAGTAGCAATGCAAAAATAATGAGTAAAGAAAGGCTACCTCTCGGACGACATCATCCCGACGACAGGTGGTCGCGTTCCTCATCCGGACGAGCTGGCTCCGGAAGGCTCTATGCATCGTGCCATAGCCAAAACCACCTCGCGTGAAAACTGTCAGAAAAATAAGTCAATAAAAATGCATGATATATGAACACAAAATTCTGAAAAGAACTAGGCTTACTCGAGTCTGGTGGCGAGGAATCCACCGCTCTACGAAGCGCTCGCCCTCGGGAGCCGGAGAAATCATCTCCTCGATCGGCCCGTACATCCCTTGATAGTGGATAGACATACGGGGTGGCACGAACTCAGCAGCACCATCTTGATAAAGCAGAAAAAATCAGTAAAGCATTACTTGGGGGCTACTTAGTGAAAAGTAAAGAACTGAAAATCTTACCCAAACATCCTCAGCCGGTACGGGGGCTGGAGCTAACAAAGTTAGTAGCTCCTCAGCATAACACCGCCCGAGGATCACATGGGACCGCCAAGGGGTACCAGCTCCCTCAAACATGCTCGATAACCGCGCCTCGTCGAACATATAACGTGGTGGAGCGGCAGGGACGACGAAGACATCAGAAGAGTGATGTCTAGCGACCCTCTCTCCTAAGTACGCGACCGCTCCATAGGTCCCCAGAAAATAGCGACGCTCAGCAGAGTACTGTGCGGCTAATCCGGGGACTGTCCAACCGCCCCACGGTCGGTATACCACCTCAGGTCCCTATAAAAAGCATCAATCAGGCAAGAATATATCTAAAACACCGCGGAAAAGCAAGATAAATGATAAAAGTCGTACCGAGATGATCCAACTCCGGACACGTGCAGTAGACATGTCCACATGGTGGCCGCCCCAAGAGGCACTCACTGGAAATCCCCGCGGCAATGGTCTCGCCGGCGCAACGGAAGGAAAGTACTCGTAGAACCAGATCTACAAGGAGTTAAAAGTGTGAGTAAAATGCTAACTAATATGTAGGGCTAAACTTTATAAGGAATAATGTTTACCTCTACAACCTTCCAAAAAACATACAAAGCGACGTTCGTCCTAAAGGACTGATGACGACACGAGTCCCTCAGCGCACGAACGAAGTCAGCATAGGCCAAGTTGGCTCAGTCATAAGTCCCGATCCGCAGGAGATCACGGACAGCAGGAAGGTAGTAAAGCAATGACCTACTACCCTTGTCAGGAGAGAATGTCCCTGACAACAACATCAGCACAAAGATGCGCACCCACTACTCTCGGGTGGTCACATTGTCGTCAAGAGCCGCTGCCAGCGTCGAGCGGCAAATTCCCCTAGCACTGAACTGAGTCGCCTCGACCTCAGCTCGGGCCCGAATAGCAATCGGCCCCAACAACTCCTCGACCTATGAAGAGAAGACGTCGATCCCACCGTCAAACGGTAGTGGCACAGAAGTGAACTCCAGTCCTGTGATGAGACTGAAGTCCGTAGGGGTGACCATTATCTCGCCCCAAGGGAAATGAAAGGTGTTGGTGGTGTCCTAGAAGAACTCCACCAAAGCGCGCACTACGTGATGACCCCCGCTGGAGGCGACCATAGCCTCGGAGACCTCAAATAGAGTAGCTAGCCCGTAAGACTCCCATAGGAGCCTCGTCTCAGGATCCCTGGTGATGTGCATGCTGTATAAATCGCCTAAACCGTCACATCCAGAGTCGTGATGTCGTGTCCTCCCGGGCTCGGTACCTTGTCTCACCCTCTCAGAAATGTGGTGGACAGGGACAAAGAACAGAGTTCGCTCGTCCCCCTCCGGAAGTCGACCGAGTGAAGTGGACGGCGTGGCGTCGTCCTCTACGGGCTCATGCTCCCGTCTAGTGTTTCGGGACCTTGAACCCGAGCCTCGCTTTCTAGCCATGCTACATTGTGCAGAATTATCATGAATTAAGGTTCTATAATATCTAAGGATCGCCTAGCTGCATGATACTATGTTCGCAAAAAAAACAGAGTACGTAGTACTAAAACAGAGCACAAATTCAAATTTAGCATAACGACATTTTTCAAGGAATCAAACAATTTCTTGCAATACTATAGTAATTATTGTGACAAATTGGACAAGAATTGCTAGCAAAAACATCAAGAACGAGTCACATTGTTCTTCACGACCTTAAGAGGTCTAACAATGGCAAATTGCTCATTTCTTCACCAAATTGAGTCAAACAAGTCTCAAATTACTCCCAAGGCAATATAAAAACATAATCAAGCAAATTCATGGCATAAAACTTGACAAACAAAGCAAATTGAGCATTATAAATTTCTAATTTTCATGAAATTCGTGAATAAACATGCCAAGAATTCATAAAAACTGATTTAAGTTTGAAGAAAACTTACATACATCAGGAAAATAGATGAGAAGAGCTTTTATTTGCAACAAATTTGAGCGAATTCGGTTGAGAAACGAGCAAGCAATGAGCAATTGAAGCTTTCGGTTTCCTCGAGCAGTTTCGCGACGAATGGAGCAGCAAAATGAAGAGGAAAGGGGTATTTAAGGGAGATTCCGTGCTGGCGCCAGTCCCTATGCATTGGCGTCACAAATTAGGCTTGGCTCCTGGCGCCAACATCAGCGCCTGGCTAACACCAAATAGCTGGCGCTGATGGTTTTTCAGCGACGCCAAAGCATCCAGCCACCTGATGAGGTTGTGCTAGCCTTCTGCAACATATTTTTGGGTTCCTTGGTACGCTAGTTAGCCCCTCTAAGCAATTTGACATGATTTAGTCATCGGCTTGATTACATAAAGTGATCGACCGGATAAGAGATCGTCTTACTTGGCTTAAAGCGCCTAAGCATTGGCTCATTAGCAAATAAAGCACCGACATATAAGTTCAAAAGCAAAAGGGCACCGACATACAGGTTCAAAGCAAAAGAGCACCGACGTACAGGCATAGCGGAAGCAAAGTTCAGGCGAACTTTTAAAGATCGACAGGCGTGGATCTTCGGTAATTTCCTTTGGAAAATTATCGCATCAAATGAGGATGACTTCAAGAGAAGATATCTTTGACAACCTTCCCTAGTTTGCGGAGAGTTGTCACGAACAACTGGAGGTAATTTCGGGCGAAGTTATCTTCGATGGAATTCCCTAGGATGTGGAATATTATCAATGTGGATGAGGATTATTTCAAGCGAAATAATCTTCGATAGTATTCCCTAGGATGTGGAATATTATCAATGCGGATAGATATTGTTTTAAGAGAAATAATCTTCGATGGTATTCCCTAGGATGTGTAATATTGTCAATGCGGAGGAGGATTGTTTCGGGCGAAGCAATCTTCCAAATTTGGAAGCAGTTACAGGCGTAGCGATTTTCAAGCAGGATGGCATTCTCTAGCTTGCAGGAGGTCATCAAAACAATCGGTTACTTTCAGAGACGTATGCTCGACGGTGCAAGATACGCGTTTCTTAACTCTTTTATCTGTTTGACTAATGCTAGTTTTGCAGGCATCGGCGTTACAAGAATGATTTAGGATCGCAGAACGTTCTGAATCATTCTCCGTCCCTATCTCTACTTTGGCTTTCGTCTTTTGAAACTCGCGTTTCTCCAAACTCAATCAAAGTGGGGGCTTCTGTAGACACCCATTTGTGTCTCCCCAAAACCAATCCCAGTGATGAGTACCTTTCACGTCGAATCATAATCGAATGAAACGAAAGTGTGGAAAGTCTAGTGTTGCGGAAAGTTTTTATCTCTTTTCTCTTCTCTCTGTTTTTGAAAACTGTATTTTAAGAAAACATTCAATCCAGTTTGGTTGGTCCATGATATGGGTCCAATAGTAGTGTAGTTGGATGGGGCTTGCAAAGACCTTTCTAACGATATATTATAAGCCCAATTCCAATGAATATTGAGGAAGTTATGGCCAATTTACCAAACTGAGCCCGGTTTGAGCTTTATATGCGGCCCAATGATCTCGGGGAGGGCCTAATATGATTTATCATTCCTAATGCAATTAGGAATAGTTTTAGTCTTCTAGATTCTTCTAGAAGGTTCTTTTCATTCCTAAATCAATTAGCATTGATAAGTTGACTTTGTTGACTTTTCAGAGTTTTAATCAAAATCAAATAGCATTTTCGAAGAAATTATATTATTTTATCCTCCAGTACGGTAAACTTATCGGATATTCGAAAACGCGTTAAAATCAAGCTTGGCGTCCAACCCCAAGCCTTGGAGCCTGGAACCAGGCCTGGCACCTGGCGCTAGCCATTGGCGCCTGGCGCTAGTGCTGGTGCCTGGCGCCAGCTAGCCAGGGTTGGCGCCAGCTCTGTTTCCTGAGCGTCAGACTCTGTTTTGTTAATTTATCTTTTTTGGCTGATTTTCTCTATAAATATCGTATTAAAAACTCCGTTTTCATTCACCAATTGTTTTCATGCACCAATTTTCATCAAGATTTATCAATTCTCAATATTCATTGGCATTCTTTTAATCTCTCATTCATCTCCTCCTAAACTTGGTTTTCTCATACAAAATTCCTTATTCACAAGATCTAGAAACACCTAGCCATATTCGAAGTTGCCTTCACCCTAAACGTGAAAGGTTTAATTTCAAGGGTTTGGTCCCAAATTTCTCTTTCAATTATTTAATTTAATTGTTTGTTTATTATTTTCCTTGAAGTTACTAACGTGCGTATTTTGTTATTAGAAAGAGGTACGAGGCATCAAAGTAAGTACTTTAATTGATTAATTGATGTTATGATGTAGAAATCATGTTTCAATTGTCATTATGATATTCCTAGTATCATGTCTAGGGTAATTTTAATATTAAATATGATTGTTGCGATGCTTCCTATGTTCTTCCTAATATTTATGATTGTTAGTATCATGTTAAGGTTAAAGCTTTGATTTTTATTGCTTAGTGACATGCTAGGGTTTGTTATTAATCTTGTTAGTATCATGTCTAGGATCTTGCTATTATTATGCTTTAATGTTAACATGAACATGATTTAATTATAATTGTTATAATATATTATTATTTTGATGATGATTATTTTATTTATGATGATATGATTGTTAATTATTATTCATGATATTGATTATTTATTATGTTGTTTGTTATTTCATTGTTATTGCTTGATCACCTTTATTGCATGTTTAAAGGTAATTTGTACTTGTAATCATGCTTAATAAGATATTTAATAATCTTGTTAGGGTTAATTTGATTATAATTTCAAGTGATCGCCAATAATAGTTTATTTGTGCATTAAATTCAACCAACATAGATTAAACAGGTTTAGAGTTAATCCTATTGATTGCATGTTAATTAAAAAGCGCACATGAATACGATCAGAATAAACTAGAGGCCTATTATTAGGGCAGGTTCAATCTCTTTTAGGTTGGATTTGTACCATCATCCCCGAACCCTTATTTGGTTCAAGAGCTTATGGAGTTGACGATCTCTTGGATTGTTAAGGGGTGTAACCTTCATCCTATGAACGGTTTACAAGTTCCTAAAATTTTGTTGGCGACTCTTTTGCTCTATCTTCTTCCCTTTTGGACGCCACCGTACTTTAGTGTATGATCACAGTGGGGTTCAAGCTAGTGGAATTTAAAGGCTTGAAATTATTCCCTACACCACCGATAACACTTTCCATGCCTGAGGAAAGCCGACTTGGCGGTTTTCTATACTTGAAGAAAAATCCACCGATAAAGCTTTCCATGCCTGAGGAAAGCCGACAATTGCTGAAATTTGCAAGTATATGATGGTTCGATTATCCCCGAATGTGGGCCGCAGATGATTCACACCTTCAAATCGATTATCCGACCATATTAGGTGTTTAAAATGCCGAAAAATAGACTTCGATGCTTGCCATGGGTAAAATGGTAATTTTAGTCAAAATGTGAGGAATATTCGCAGATAACTGTGTAGGGCAGGCACAAAGCCACCGTGTCACGAAAAGATTCACGTGACATGGCACGGGTCCCCGTCACGCGGAGCAGTTTCCCGTGACGCGGCAGGGGGGCCCGTCACGCGGAACAAATTCCCGTGGCGCGGGAAATTTGTTGGCTGAAAAATCGATCAACTGGCATCTTTGACCAGTCAAAGCATGTGCACCACACAATATATGACCGTTACGTGGGAACGGGGTTCGTTGCACAGGATTTTTTTTTTTTTTTTTGGT